TAAACTTTTCCCAACAATGGCAACCCGTCACCTAGAGCCCTATGTCCTCGGTTCAGAATCAGACTAATATATGTCACTGTGAACTAATGGAAGAAAATGGATGGATGGATAACAGTAGGTTTCCAGATCAACTTTCCCCATGAACAAAGTTGACCTCCCTTCTCCATCTTCGGGCCAAATAATCTCGTCACATATTTACAACAACAACACAAGTTGACATGAAGTTAACACAAAAAAGCACAGGCGCTTATCTACTGTCTATGGACCACACGCTGGACTCGGAGAGAGGCTGCAGGGGCTGATCATAGACGGCTCTGATTCACTGGTTCAGTTTTTCCACGCTGTCAATCATCTCTTGGAGGCGGGCTTTTGATGTCACGGATCGTGACACGTCACGATTTGAAACAGCTCGTTTCTGTGCCTCCCGAGAACGAAAGAGAATGATTGCTCTCTAACTAAAGCTTGAGGGAATCAATGAAAAAACTACTCTGTGCATGTGTATGGGCACCCCATCTAAACAGGGCCTTTGTTTCCGGAAATTTGTTTAGAAATTACGGCTCTGATCAAATTGTAATATTCTAGAGCAGTCAACGATCAACAAAAACAACACAAAAAGTTATTATAGACATGGTGAAATGTCCCCGTTGTTATGCGAGACGAATAAAGGTTCTCTTAACTTCAAAACATGACATTTATCTACTTCCATTCATTGACGTTTTGAAGTTTGTTTGGAGTGGCGTCAGAAGTATCATCACAAATGTTATTTTGGTATTGTTTGGCCCCACCTCTGCATGGATCCCACCCCTGCCATGTTCAATACGTAAATGTCAGTAGAAAACAGTGCTGGATGAGTTCACAGCCTCAAGAGATTATACATTGTATTATAACATCACATCAATGTTTCTTAGTTCATGAAGATTCTTCCCTGCAGGAAAAGGTTTGGAGGTCAGCTGCGACCAAAACAGACCTTGTTGGTGAACAGGTAAATAATTTAAATCCAACTCACATCGATAAGAAACCAAGCCACGTTTATTCACATAAATAGGATGTGTGATTTCTTTGCAAAAGTATGTTGCTACTTACACTGTGTCATATACAACTCAAACTGCAGGTCTGTGCACTTCTGTAAAGACATTTGGCAGGTGGCCCATTAAAAACTGTATTTCTGCTGTGCTCCCTGTAAACAAGTCACTCCAAATGCAGAGAAATAATAATTTATGTCCAAGGTGACCAAAGCCCCGGCATTAGCATTTCATTTCAAACTTACACTTTTTAGAGCTTGTAGAAAGTTGATGAGAACATCTCAAATCTGGAGATTCAAAAGTTCTGCTTTCAGGATTAGCATATTCTTAAAACAGAGGACATAATGTGATGGTGATGGATACAAAGTGTGTGGTTAACCTTGTTTTAACCCCTGAAAAGGGAAATAAATATACATTCATCACTGACCTTTCATACAGCCCACTAAGTGTTTGTAAAACAAATTTTAAAATGAGACATTTTGTGTTTGGAGTTCAAGCACTTGTTTGGTATACTCTTCTGTTCAGCAGTTAAAGCCAACACAAGAATTATTTGAATAAAAGGGTCATGGCCTTATCTCCCACAATGCAGGGTGGACTGTCCCACTCTCTGCACAAAGTGGCCGTACTGACCGAGCCTGAGGCCAGGCTAAAAGCCCTACATAGTGTGCAGCAGGTGTTGTGAATATAAAGTGGTGCCAGAGTGCATCAGTCATGAGCTGCCTTTCATTTAGTATGCAAAATAAAAATGAATTCAACCAAACAAGGACTGGCAGCCGCCGCAGCAGTGGCTTCAATACTGCTGCACAGCAAAACATCGGCATCCAAGCCAAACGTGCTGTAATTTTAGCCGTAAAAACATTGTCAGTTGTTTTATTCATAAGGCAGATATTAACATAAAATCAATGGAAGTGATGGGTTGTCAAGCATGACAGCAAACTTTGTCAAAGTGACCCAGTGTTTTCCCCTATATTACATTACGTAGCGACTGAGATTTTCGTCAAGCAGTGAACTGAGCCTGACAGTGTAAAACAAGTACATGAAAGAGTGCTTGAAATTATTTACATCTTAAAGATACTACTTCCTTTAACTCTCTTTTAACTGTCACATGCTGGCTCTCTCCAACATGTTTACAAGTGAGGCCAATACATTTCACTGCTCCTGTGTCTAAAGTTGTTTTTTTCTCAGTGCCAACAGCTTAGGCCACAACCCAGGCCTGGCACATAGAGCGGAGTGTTCACTCACACTCGCCCTCATCATTGACATGCAGCGTGGATGTCTGCTCCTGAAAAGCCTCTCCAACACCCTGCAGGGCTCTATGGTAAGTCGTCTCCACTGATAAAACAAGAACGCTGACTCTATGGAGCAATCGGAATAATGACGCTGATTACACTGATAAAGACGGCTGCATAATCTCGTTCTTTGCTTCAGCTCAAACCTGGAAATTTACAGCCGTCAAATAAAGTGTGAAATATCAATTTGAAGCCGAGATGTCACTTCTCTCACCTTGGCATTGTGGGCAACATTCACAGACACATGAGCGAGGATGGATAAAGGACCTTGGTGACTCAAACCTTGTTAAGGATTCATTTAATATCTATCATTTAAAATGAAAGGATGGGGATGAGGAATTACTGGCTAAATTTGAAACAAATGATTTCCTCTCTCAAGTCACTAACGCATACAGATTTAAACTCATTGAACCAAATACTGTAACTATTGGATTCAAGTAAAGATTAAATTAATTAATTAATCGATGAATACTATAAATATTTACATGTCACTGATGCAACTTTTCATTTTTTCAATCCCATTTTCAGAACACATTTTGTCACCTCAATTTCACACATTAATAACTACCAGCCACCAGGGACATCACGAGACCTTTAGCTTTGCTGGGCACAGGCCCCTTCCATTTATTGCAGCATTTTGACCATGACGCACTATATCTTTTTAGTCAGGATGGTCGGCCGGATTCCTAATCCTCAAAGAAGCTTGCACCACCAGACTCAACTAAAAAAGCCCTCGTAGGAATGGAACTGCAAGAGGTGCAGTTCCATTCTTAAGAAATCTCTGGTAGATGATTCAGATAAAATCATGATGCTCTTTTTGTTTATAAAACAGATAAACTGATTATAACCTCTCCTCCAGAACAAAGGCAATAAACTGTGAACTTGTTTATTTTAGACTCAATAGCACAAACAAACAGTTATATCTCCTCAGATTGACCTCTACCAGTTGTGGTAAATATAAAAGCGCACCATATTTTAACACCATCCATCCAGCCATTTTCTTCCCCTTAATCCCTTTCTGGGTCGGGGGTGGCAGTCAGAGCTGCACCCAGTACACAGAGCACCAGCTCCTCAATGATCCTCCTGCAGGTGGTGAGTCCACAGGAGCCTTGATTATTCAGCAGGGGTTTCAGGCAAAGTGGGGTTAAGTGTCTTGCCCAAGGACACAACAACAGCAGTCATATTTTAACACCTGTCTGATTAAATAGTTAATTAACTTGTGTTATACACCATGTAACTTAAAGTATATAATAATAAATAAATAAAAAATAATAAAGTAGCAGGTCATCATTAAATGGCCCTAATCTGTCAAAAGGCATTAATAAACCATGCTCTTTTCCAAAACTTCTTTAACTGATAACAGTGGTTCAGACGAGATATTTGAATTTCAAAATTAGTTTTACAGCCCTAAATATTGTTATTGCTTTCATTTCGCTGTCCCGCCATAGACCATTTTACCAATCAGAAAGTCCATGATTCGGGTTGGTAATCTCACTGATAAAGTAACAGGTGGCTAAAAAAGGTCTTGTTATGATTCTCAAATCGATTAATAATAAAACGAGGAATTCTGTGGTTAGTTATAGATTTGTTGTCGACATAATTCTTGTCTATTCAGATAATATGGTCCCAGCTGGATGTGTCTGTATATCTGGCAACCTTAGTCAGGGAGAGTGGGAGAGGCTGCAGTACAACTTTTGGCCAGATTTGTACATACTGCTCCTTAAAGTATAACTTCGGTGACAAAGGCTACAGTCTGTAAATGTGGATAATACTGTGAGTTTGTGTCCAGTGTATCCCTCGTGTCGTTCCTCATGAGGCACAGCTTATTCTTACAGCCAAATGTGCTCCTGTGAAATTAGGAGAGCTATCACTAGAAGGGATAGCTCTCAGCCTCAGTCAGGAAAGACACGAGGAAACACTCCTAGCACCTGTCATACAATGTCTGTAGAAGCTCCTTTACACTACATACAATGATTTCAAGATGTTTAAAATCTGGAATTAAGGATAAAACACATAGTGTATATAACCAATAAAACCTATGTAACACCAAACTCTATTTAATTCATTTTGGGATTTTTCTTTTTCTCTGTGTAAAAATAGGTTGTTGGTTCAAATAAGGTTGAACAAAAGCCACATTGAGGCTGAGATTCCCATCTTGTATTGGCCAAGAAATACTTTTTACGGCACATTCAAAACCTCCTCCTCAGTCTTTTCTCATAATAATACCCGATCCATGCTTTGTCCACTCCAGAGACGCACACTCAGAACGCCACACAGCCGAAGCGCGTATATACTTTCTCCTACAGGATGAGGTAGTCTGGCCAACGAGCTTGAGACGTTGTGACTAATCAAGAAGATTTTTGATGGTTTAAGAGGCGCAGTGACACTAACGAAAGCTCACACATGCTCTTTATAACTTCTACTTCCAACCCCCTCCTTTCACCGCTTCTTTCTCGCTCTGACAATCTCTCCCCCCCTCCCATCCCTCTCACCTCTCTCTCCGCATCCCGCCGACCAGCAGTGCAGCCTCTCGCTCGGCTCATTTCAGAAGCTGGATCCGCTGCTCACACACGCTTCGTTCATTAAGGACCTGAGTGGGTAAAGAGAGGGAGTAAAAAAGGAAGTTTGAAAGGAGACAACACAGAAGACTCACACTCTGTCACTTTCAGCGCTTTATCGCCGCACCACGATGGATCCCTGGAGAAGAAAAGTGTCTGGAATAATTGCACAGGTCGCTCTCCTACTTCTGGTTTCGTCTGGGACAGTGGTGGCAGGTGAGCACTGGGAATAAGTCTGCATCAAAGTTAAAATATTGGATTTGTTTGATTGTTCTGTGGGGCAAGTGATTGGATGTCAAAGTATGAATGGGTTTCTATTTGAATGATGTGATGAGGGAGTAGGTCAGCAAGCTAAAATAGGTCTGTCCTGAACAATGTGGGTTGAGAGGTTATTTCATCTCATGGGTTTATGTACATTATATAGACCTGTTGATGCAGACAGCAGTTTGATGACTTTCACCATTCAAAAGTATGAGTTTGAATTGCTATTATTGGTAATGGTAATTGGTACGACTGCAAATCATATCAACATTTTATCAGGGACAGTATTACAACCAGCCTCAGTATCACTCCTTACAGTCAAGTCACGTTTTCAAAAAATACAAAATGACAAGATATGAGATCACAGTTTGGGGAATAGATCTGGTGTTGCTGGTGTGTGACAGAAAAAACAGCTTGGCAGACAAAAGATGTTCCAGACAGGAGACTTCTAGCGCCAATGAAACTTGTCATTTGAACAAATAAAAACAACCTCACCGACTCACAGGTGGCAGGGAGGCAATATCGAGAGGCTCACCTAAGATATGTGGTGAGATCATATCTTATCACAGAGAATAGTAGAATCCAAAAAAACATCTATTTCCGATAGGATCATTGTGTCTGTGCGTATGTCCTCAGACTGCTCCCACACACGCACACACGCAGGGTAATAGGTTAATTGGAGACTCTAAATTGCCTGTGGCTTTGGCGTGAATGGAGGAGGTTGTATTCAACTGATGATTACTAAGAAGAGGGATGATTTGCGAAATTATATTATCCTATTTTGCGACATATCTTTGTTCTATTCATATTACTATATTCTTCACAGCTTTGTTGGTATATGTATATGTAGGTATATTGAATTATATAGCATTATCCTACGAACATCCAATACTGAATTCAATTATTAGTCCCTGCTACTCTTAGGCATATTGTAAAGTAATTAAATATGATTTTATGGATGGTAATTTTTCTCTGGAAACAAGATTGTTGCGTTAGGTTTAATGACTCAAATGCAAAAAAAAATAACCCTTGGCGAAACGCATTTAACCGTGTGAATTATTTATACATCCGAAACTAATTGTGTAATTATAGAATATGTTGATAATCATATTTTAATTATAATTGCAGACGGCTTTAGAACTCTACCTTTAGATATAGTCGGATATAAGCCTTATTGTATATGGTCATTATTTTAATATTCACCATTGAGAAGCTTGTGTATCACCAGATGGTTGAATTAAATCTATAGACAAGTAAAACAGCCTGGCAAATGTGCTCAATTAGCATACATATGTAATTAAAAATAACATAACTAAATATGGGAGAGGAAAGAGCCCAAGAGACAAAAACTTGATGCAAAGGCAGAATTGTCTTGGACCTACAAAAAACCCGGCTAAAACCATACACCAAAATAATACACAGCCATAGCTTTCAGATCAATAAGTGGTGGAGAAGCCTGTTTCCCTCCCACAGAGCAAACATAATACATCATTCACTTAATAATCCCCTTTTTGGCCCAGATGCGTAGCTTCACTTTTGATTTGACTTTGTGCTCGCGCTGGGCCAGTGCTGCAGGCAAGGTCTGACTGGAGCTATTTGTCCAGAGTAAAAACCATCAGGAGGGGACATGTTCCTGGAGTCAGTCTCAGGCCTGTGCGCATCACCACTCACAAATCCATTTAAACAGCCTTGGTCTCAGGGACAAATGCTGCACTTCAGGAAGAGTCAGCTTGAGTTGCAGATTAGGCGTTTAATTCACAGAACGATTTCCAATAGTGAGGCCAAAACAGTCACTGGAGCCTTCCTGAATTACATGTTACAAATTAGAGCTTGTGATTTAGAGCAGACGACAAGTTGCCTTAAGGTGTTCAGCTAATCTGACGATTGCTTTTGTCCATCCTTGTAATCTAGATGTGTTTATGATGACTTCCTGGTTTTCCTTGTTGAGATTCCATGTCTTTGTCTAGAATGACGTGATGTGGAATCTCTTGTTTTATTGCATTTGCTTGATATAAGGAAAGCATGTTTTGTCATTCCATGCTACTTGTTTTTTTATTATTATTTTTAGTATTTTGTTGTGGTCTTGAAAATAGATTTTCGATAAATGTTTTATTGTTAATTTACAGATGCAAGTATGACTGTCATAAACAAAAAATATCCATCAATCGATTGCACTGATGTTATGTTTTACCATTAAAGAGAACACATGATTATAGCTAGAGGCTCTTTAAAGATGGCCATCAATGTTGTCCATTAAATTGCAAAAAGAAGGTAAAAACAGAATCATGTACGGTGTAATCAATAAACATCAGCTGCTCTTTGCATTTGCAACGCAAGTTTAAACGAAGGGAGACTTTAGCTTGCTAAATTTGTGGTGACTTTCAGTTGATTTTCTATATTCCAGAATATGGAAGTTTAGCCTGGAGGCAATCATACCATTAAACCAAATAATAATGCATTCCAGCCTCCCTTCAGGTGCCCAGGGGCAGAAAATAGGTCTAAATCTTGACATCTCTCTTGTTCCACTGGTGTTATTAAGCCCTTCAGGGCATTGTTATCACTTATCTAACTGATATGGAGTCAGTGGAGAGTGTCCTAATCACAATCTAATGAAAGATTATAGTGCTGCTGGTGCGGACATGTAATCTGACCATGCACACTCCGCACGACACCACTGGAGAGCAGAATTTAAGAACGCTTAGGGAATACTGAGCAGCACTCGCGGGAAGGATGTAGGAGACATTTTGCCCCAAAAGTGGTGATAGTGTTTCTGCTGGGTGGAGATAGCAAAAGACTCCACAAAAGTCATACAGTACGTCTCAACAGCAAGAGGTTAAGACAGAAGTGACATTTTCAACCTTTCTTTCTTTCGACTAGTTCCTCACAGCAAGGTTCAAAGTGACGAGTCTTAGACAGTGAAGGGCAATATTAAAATCACCAAACTGAGAGGGTTGATGTTCGGATGGTATGTTTCTTAAAAGGGTCACTTTAAACAACATATGGGGGAAGCGAGCTAATTTTTATTCCATATACTCAATTTTATTCTTCAATCATTGTCTGAATATACAGAGAAGATTCAACCTTGACAGAACTTGAGATCACATCTGTTCCACTGACATTTTGCTGCCAGGAAGCAGAAAGTGCAAAAACAACGCTTCAACATTTATCTTCTTAAGAGTCCTTGAGAAAACTTTTTGTTAGAGTTCTAGTGTGTTTTATATACAGCTGTGCCGGGCAGTTAGAGAGAGCCACAGGGAGGACATATTTTTAGTATCACTATTATTAAGAAAAGAAATCAAAGGATGAATATTCTTTGGATAAATGATGGCATTAGGAGTGTGTCCTTATCAAAGCAATTTGGCTAAACCGGGTGAATTTTAAGCTCATTATTTTGTCTTTTCCGTCAAGTTTTGACTTCTGCATCCTCAAGTAGCACGTTAAATTGCACTCAGGTGAAGATTTAAATTGGGGGAAAAACTTTGATCTTTTATTTTGAAGATGTTATGCAGTTGTGTAACCAAAAAAGATTCCTCCAACAAAGTAAAATATGCACCATGTGAAGTACTGTACGTAACGTAAGTGGACAGAAAAGTATAGCGCAGTTTAAAAGGTACAGATTATTCTTTTCTGCGGTTATCAAGAGTTCTGTTTTTCCTTTCCTTTTAGTCTAAATAATAATTGTATTTGGATGAGAAATAGAAATGGACTAGCACAAACGCAAAATCGAATTATAGATAGTGAGTCAGCAATTAGCTACAAACAATCACATTGGAATTTGTCCTTTGCATTTAACCCAAACCCCTCAATGCCCCTCGGCCCCCCTGTCAGGAGCAGCAGTCACTATAACGCTGATGCCCAGCTTGGTCCAGACTCCCAGGACTGGAGGATATTACCTGGTGCATGTTTTGGGTGGTGGGTGAGATTGAAGCACCTGGAGGAAACCCACCCAGAAACAGGGATAAATATCCAAACTGCACACAGAAAGTCTCAGACCAACACGGGATCGAACGCACAACCTGTGCTGTACCCTCACTGATATTTACAGTATAAAATCTTGTGTCCTAATTCTATTCAGTTTGTGCATATACAGTTTTTCAGGCGCCGAAGTTGTGTGTCAATGTTATGAGACTGTGTGAGAGGACGTGTCATTTCTCTCACATAATGTCATTTATTTGAAGATGCGTTGAGGAAGCGAAGCCATGAATGTGATCTGATGAAGTCAAGGCCGAGGCGCCACGGAGCCGTCAGTCAGGAATCTAGATTTATCAGCCCAGGGACGAGCAGTTAAGTGATAAAGCTGACAGAGCATTGAGGTCTATCCATCTGAGTTTGTGACACATTGATATTTGTTCAAGGCCGGTCCCAGCTGAGCTTTGGCTCCTTAAGTACACCTCACTTCATCAAATGACCCTGTGTTCACCTGGGATCACAGAGAGGCAGTGCTCCGACTCTGTGGAGGTCAGACCGGTCTGTGGGACGTGGGGCGAATGACAATCACCTCTAAACTCGTATCTGTATGTTATGGACGGATGGGAGATACATAATTAATGATTAACATGAAGAGGTACATGTCTTGAAGTCAAAGTTTCCATATGGTCAATTGCTCTATGGAAGTCAAATGGCTTAAATAGATGATGAGTTCACAGGAAATAAGCAATATTAGCTATATTTAAAAAAAGTAGAAACAATGGAGGTTGCATTAATGTTGTATAATTTCAATTGAAGTTGGAAGGAAAGAAGCCATTTTGGAAAATCTCCCATCCAGTCTTTTTGGTTTGTTATTTGATAGTGATAAAGTCAAAAAGATGCCATATTTTGCCTACTTTTTCCACTGGCCAACTTCATGCATATGTTTTTTTAATGATGTCACAACTTAGTCACCTGAAAGACACCAAAAAGAAGATGTAAAACTCTGAGAGTTTATTTTTCATGTGGATTGGCTCAGAGCAAATAGC